TGGCCATTTGGTCACGTGCAGATGCACCTGCTCCTGCTCTAACATGGCCATGGTGCCAACAGTTGAGTTTATTTTGCTTTATGTTGCTGGGAAGTAAAATCATTACAGACACTTTAGGAACTAGATCCTAATCCTGGCAGCTAAATCTAGCCTAGTGTATGATTCCTGAATATAATGTGTATTATGTGAGTTATTGGTAAGGTCCTGTGTTGTCTTAACATACCTCTTTTCACAAGAGTTTTTGATTTAAACCGCTTTATTTATGAAAGGTGAGGAAAAAGATAAGAAACACAGAAGTACCCGCTTTCACTGTCTGCCCTCCCCTTGGTGAGGCCGGGTGGTAGTTTTCCTGCCAATGACACATCAGAATTGGGACTTTAGGAGGGGAAGAACCGGCTCCGGAACCGTGTCCCAGGGCACCGGGAGGTGCACACCTACAGGGGGTGAAGCTGGTGCCGCTGGCCTGGCAGGCAGGAGGCAGACACAGGCAGGGTGCAGAGGCCGGCAGGGTGGGCAGCTGGAGGCACAGGGCACCCAAGAGCCTGAAGAAGCAGACACTGAACACAGTGTGATGGAAGCTGCAGGACAGAGGGGCGTCATTGTGCTGTTAATCACACCCTTCCCGGTCTCTGTGCCTTACAGGTGACTTTGCAGCCTCGTGCCTTGGCTTCTGACTGAGAGAAACCATGTTCTCAAAGCCTCTCTCTGGGACTCCACGATCCCACTGCTTGGGGACGTTACCCTGGATCTACGGTTTCTTTTCTCAGGCAATGCAGGGAAATAAGGTGAATTATCTGCTGCCTAAAAGGGACCTGGATTGCAGAATCGCAAGGGGAAGAGATGGGGTGCGTTAAGAGATAATGCCAACGTTAAAAGATAAAATGGATTAACATCTCCCTGCATGCAGAAAGCTGCGTGGGTGGAGCAAGAGGTTGCAGTAGCAGTTTAAAAGGGGACGAGACAGCTGGGCATCCTTGTATTTTTCTCTTAAAAAAAAAAAAAAAATCCATCCTAAAAGCTGAGCTTAGCTGATGTGATCCTCCAAAGTCCATGTCAGTCAGCCAGGCTGGCTGTCCGCAGTCGGGAGGTGTCAGGACAGCCCGAGTAACACACCCTCCTGGCTGACCTACACGGGGCTATAGTGCAGCTGATTTTCACCTGCAGGCTCCAGCAAGAGGTTGCAAAAATGAGCCATGGGAAATAGCTCACAATCATCTATTTCCATTTCTATTTCAGCCTGGGATTTCAGCTTTAATGACTCTTGAGACAAACGAGGCCACGCACGGCTTGCCCAAGGCAGCCGTTCCAGTGTGTCTGTGGGGTGACACGAACCATGGTGGAGGGCCTGTTTAGGATGTGATTAAAGAGGTAATTCTCCCTCCCTGTGCAGATGAGATCTAAGCGTGGCTTAGGTAAATTACTGAGCGGCTTGTTACAGCCGTGGCCGAGTTCCCTTGCTGCGCAGGGCCTAGTGTTTTACATCCAATTTGCTGTGGAGCCCAGAGTGTCACAACAGCATCCCAACATCCGCATCTCTGCGCTTGTCTGACCCCCCTTCTCTGGAAGATGGGACCCCGGAGACCCGCTGCGGATGGCTCTGAGGCGCAGGCTAAGCCCCATCAGTTTTCCTAATAGTTTCTGATGTTCATTCCCTGAAAGCTCCCCCCTCTTGATGATGCTGGTCCACGGCTTGGTCTTCAGGGACTAGCTGACTGAAAGCCAGAAGCACTTTGGTCTTGGCTAAAGGATTTTTAACAGAAGCACGCCTTATTCACAGTGTGGCACAGATGATTGTGCAGACCTCGGGAAGGGTAACAACCCCAGAAGCCCTCTTGTTCCCACCCCTGCTCTTTTACCCCCTCGAGAGTCTTTTGGCTCCTGATCTGTGTCCTGGAGAGGATCTCAACCCCTCCAGCTCCCTCCCCGCTCCCCCACATCACAGACTGAGCTCTGCCCTTTGGTTTGTCATTTGTATGGGCCACTTCTCTATGGAGTTTAAAATCACTTCTGGCACCTTGTGATCTTTCACCCCGTGCCTTGGCATTTTTCCACTCGCACCCCGGCAGGACTGGCGGCAGGCTGGTAGCCTCCATCGTCCTGCCCCGCACAACCGTTCAATCCTTTGCTGCCGTCAATAGCCCCACTTCAGCTTCTCGGGCATGGCCCGGTTCTTGCCATAAAACGGAAGATTTAATCCCCTCTGAAGGCTGTAGCGTGCGCGAGGATTCGGAAGAGGAACGGGACCTGTTCGTGTGAAACAGACCCGCGCTGGCCGCGCCGGCAGAACAAAGAACAGGCTGAAACGCGGCCTGACGATGGTGGTCCTTCGCACAGGTCATTTGGGAGCGCAAAAACCCCGCGACGCTGCCACAGCACCTCACATCCCCGAGAGAGAGCAGCAGAAACTTCACTCGCTTGTAATTTAAACGGCTGCTCGGGACGCGGTGAGGCGGCATTTGCTGTGGGGGCTACTGTGCCATAGCTGAG